CTAAAGATAATTTGTTTCCTTTAGAGTGTGGTATTCAGGGAATCTCCTGTGGTACTCTGATTACTGTCTGCACAGATTATGGGTCTTCACTGTTCCTATGTCATTTACAGAGGAACATGTTTTCCTTGCTCCAGTTGTCCTAGAGATAGGGCACAGTGGCCTCCTTCCTCTGCTTCCCTTAAAGACCCTTCAAAGTTTATTTTATTCTAATCAGCCAGTATCTACAAAGAACTTGGGGGTCACCTGATCTGAAGATGGAGAGAATGTATCTCCAACATATATGGAGAATAAGATGAGCAGACGTAGGGGGTGTGTGGAAATCAATTTAGTAGCTCTGTCAACTGCAGCTCATGCTTACAGGTTGGAGCATGGGCTGCTGTTTGCAAATTCACTGAACTTCAAGTTAAGGCTCAGCTCAAGCAGATCTGACTGAGATTCAATGTCTAAATGTTCATGAATTATTCAGTGTATATCAGCAACAGCTGTTTTATTTGAGTAAGACGAACAACATACCGATCCTTATTGCTTGACAAATATCCCAGAAGAAGGCTAGCCCTAAAGAAGGAAATGACACTGACGGAAAATAATAGGCGATTGTCCTCAGCAGAACTTCAGGATCGTAATATTGTTCCCTGAAGAGTCTGTCTGAGAGACATCCCTAAACTTCCAAATTCTTGTCTTGTTTAGAAAACTAGGGCACCTACATTATAAGATCTCTTTGAAAGAGACTAGTTGTCTGTACAGTGCCTTTCATAATGGGGCTCTGACACTTTCTTGAAATTTCTAGATGTTACTGTAATGCAAATAAAGAGGCAACTGGAAATACATCTTTGCCATAGATATAAATGCAAAGTACTCCACTTAGGAAGGAACAATTGATTGCACACATACAACATAGGAAACGATTGCATAGAAAAGAGTACTGTGGAAAGGGATCAGTGGATCCTAGTGGACCACACGTTGAATATGAATGAACAGTGTGACGCTTGCAAAAAACCAAAAACCCCAACATTATTTGGGATGCATTAACAGGAGTGTTGTAAGTAGGACACGAGAAGTAATTCTTCTACTTTAATCCACACGATCTCCGCTGGAGTACTGTGTCCAGTTCTGGGCATCATATTTCAGAAAAGATGAGGACAATTTGGAGAAAGCCCAGAGAAGAGCAACAAAAAATGATTAGAGGTAAAAAAACATGACTTATGAGGGAAGACTGAAAGAACTGGTTTTGTTTAGTCTGGAAAAGAGAAGACTGGGAAGGGACATGATAATAGGTTTTAGTACCTTAAAGGGTGTTACAAGGAGAAGGGAAAAATTATTTTCCATAACTCCTGATGATAGTTTAAGAAGCAATGGCCCAAAATTGCAACAAGGGAGGATTAGGTTGGGCATTAAGAAAAACTTCCTGTCAGGGTGGTTAAGCACTGGAATAAATTGCCTAGGGATGTTGTGGAACCTCCATCATTGGAGATTTTTAAGATCAGGTTAGATAAATACCTGTCATAGACTGTCTATGGTGCTTGATAAACCATCTTGTTAGTCTTTAAAGTGCAACATAGTCCTGTATTTTGTTTCAGCAACACCAGACTAACACGGCTACATTTCTATCACTGTCCCTGCCATGAGTGCAGAGGACTGGACTTGACCTCTTGAAGTTCCTTCCTGTTCTGATTCCTACTCTTTGTAACAGGGGAAAAAACCCCCCCCCCCCATTATTTTTGGGTTTCAAGGTTGTAAAATACCCTTTTCCCTATCTCACACATTCTTCTCACTCCTCAATGCCGTTTCACTGTTTTATCTATTGAAAACAGCAGGTAGCTAAGGTTTAAATTCAAAGCCTGGTATTGTGTGGAGTGAATTGGTTAACAAATAATACAAGCTAGCTTCTAGTACCTGCACTTTGGAGTGTGCTAACTCCAAGGGATCTGAAAAATGTCAGTAATGATATGTGTTTGTACACCTTCATGAAGCCTGACAGTATGCTATGAAAACACTGTAATTGGAGAATTACTTATTGAATGCTAACAGCAATATATGGCTTTTGTACAAATTGACAAGGTTCTCTAGGTTACTTATTTTTCTGAGAAATTAGGTTTTTCCTGTCAATTTGCCTAATTGAAAATCAAAATCCTGTCTATGACTCAACAGTGGATTGAATGAATTAAAAATAAATAGCATGCTTATCGCTAAATTGCAGTGACTGAAAAACTGCAGAATTAATACCAACAGCAGTAAATGCTTCTTGAATTCTGATTAAAAGTTATCTTCTATGGTAAGTTTGGAAGCACGGGATATAAAGAAAATACAGGTATTTATTTATAGTGATGTTAGGCTAACAAAGCTTAAAATTATATGGATGCACTACAGAAATAATTTAAAGTAGTGATTTCTTATTAAAATAGGTCTCAAATGCATATTAGGTATTAAACTACTAAAAAGGTATCAGTGATCTTTATCAATGAAAACAGAACTGGCCAAAAAAAATACTTTGAGGAACAGTCATTTTTACAGACCCAAGTTTTTTTTTTATACACAGCATAGAATTGTCCTGAGAAAGTATTTGCTACCAAGAGTCCATTGAAAGACAGACCACAATAACAGGATAATTTTAAGAAAAATTAATAGTTGCAAAACTACAAAAAAGCCAGAGTTTGATAATTAAATAGTGCATCAGAAATCAATCTGATTGCCTTATGAAGAATGAATTTTCCTCATCCTTGCACAATGAGCTAAAATCAGCAGTTCTCAAACTGTGGGTTGGGACCTCAGAATGATTTAAATGGGGTCACCAGAGCTGGTGTTAGACTGGGCTCAGGCTTTGGCTTCAGTCCTGGGTGATGGAGCTCAGGTTATAGGCCACCATCCCAGGCATGAAGATCTTGGGCTTTGGCCCCAACGCCCAGAGCAGTTGAAATACTAGGTGAATGCTGTGCAAGTCCTTCTAAGACCTCAAGAAAGGTTTCAGCAAAGACCAAATATACAACTTGATATTATACAAACACAGAAACCACAACATATAAAAAAGTGCCAACTTTGCACAACACCAAACACCCTTGCCTTGTACCTCCAAGTCCCTGCCTACCCCCATCCCTTCTCTGAGCCTCCCCAACTTCCTCAATTCCCCATCCCACTTTTGCTCTCTCTCCTCACACTCATTCATTTTCACTGGGTTGGCTCAAGGGGTGAGGGCTCTGTATGGGGTTTTGTCTTTGGTTGTGGGGCTGGAGATGAGGGGTTTGTGGTGCAGGAGAGTACTCAAGGCTGGGACCGAGGGGTTCAGAGGGCAGGAGGGCTCAGAGTTTGGGGCTATGCCGCAGGAGGAGTTAGGGGTGCAGGCTGTGGGAGGTGCTTACCTCAAGCAGCTCCCAGAAGTATGACTCTCTCCTCCCCCCAGTTCTAATGCAGAATTGCAGGCAGGCAGGTGGCTCTGCGCAGTGCCTCATCCACAGGCCCTGCCTCTGAAGCTTCCATTGGCTGGGACCCATGACCAATGGGAGCTGCAGGGGCAATGCTTGAGGTGTAAGAAGCATGCTGAGCCCTCTGGCTGATCCTCCACATAGGAGCTGGAGGGACAGTACATGTTGGCTGCTTCCTGGAAGCTGTATGGTGTAGAAGCTAGTAGGAAGCCTATCAGCCCCATGGCATGCCACCACAAACTGGACACTCAATGGTCTGGTCAGTGGGACTGACCAAAGCCATCAGGATTCCTTTTTGACAGGGTAGTCTGGTAAAAAAAACTGGACATCTGGCCACCCTATTAGAAATAGAATTTCCCAATTGTTTCTTGGGTCCAAGTTAGTTTTTTTGTGACATTATTTTCAGCTTCAATGGCTCCATTATTACAATACAGCCTCACCAGGTGTGTGTGGGATGGAGGGACATTTTGATCTTGAGTAGGGCTCTAATAAGGAGGAGCAGCTGGTAGTGTGGGCACTTTAAATATTGTCTGTAGAACACAATTATAGTTTGCGAGGAAAGGCTTGTCTCCACAAATGCAATGAAAGACTAAATGAGGCGTCCTTAATGGTCTGTTGAACATATACATACGCACGCGTGCGCGTGCATACACAGATACTTTTCAGATGGCAAAAGATGTGACAATTAATCCAATTTAGCTACCTGCTCTTTTTATGTTTTGACAATGATGAGAACTATTATTTTTCAGATAAGAAAAAAAAAGGCAGCTGACATCCTGCAGAAAGAAAGTTCTGGAAATCTCTGCTCTCCTGCACACAAATCTGAGGCAGAGCAGCTGTTCCAATCCTAACCTTTAGACTTTTCTGTGAGCGAAGAGCTAGCTTTGATCTCTCATCAATAAACAAATAAAAGAAAGGCTGTTTCACTGGATAGAAGCAATTCTGTATCCAGGTAACCATGTCCTTTCCTCATTGATCACTATGGTAACCTAACTCCTTCCTTCTGTTCCTTCTAAATGAGAAAGCATGTTTTCCTGATAACAGATATGGGAATTCTTTGATTTGCTATTTCATTCCTTGACTTCACAATAGTAAAAGGTCACTTTCAATTCTAATGTGAGGAATTTAAATTTAAACAGTGCTGAAATATACATACATCCCTTACAGTCTCAGAGCTGTCTCAAAATATTCTGCTCAAAATTCACTGCAAGAAATGAAAAATGTGTAAGACACAGTTGGTTTCTGTGTGTCTTAATGACCCTTTGTGGTTGATCAGGGGTTTCTGACTCCGCAGCTTAATTAGATTTTCTGTTAGCCAGTGATTAAAAGGACTTCTAGAAAACTGAAGCAATGAACTTTAAATGAGTCAAGGTCAAGGTCATCAAAACTTTCCAAGAGCATGGATCACGTTGTAAAGAGCATCCCCTGAATCTTCCACCATCTGCAATTATATACACATAATGCCTTCTTCTGCCTCCTTCTTCATCTTCCCGTAATTTATTAGATTACATCCTTATGGTAACTAAAGCAATTGCTGATGGGAAAAGAAGTATAAGGAAAGTGTATAAGTATTTTACAGCTTTCTAGTGTGATCAGTTTTCTTTCTTCTTGATGCTTTTTTCTTAACTAACCATATGGTCTATGTTACTTTTCTATTAATCAAAAATGGGAGGGATAGCTCAGTGATTTGAGCATTGGCCTGCTCACCCCTGGGTTATGAGCTCAATCCCTCAGGGGGCCATTTAGAGATCTGGGGCAAATCTGTCAGGGATAGTACTGGGTCCTGCCATGAGGACAGGGGACTGGATTCAATGACTTCTCAAGATCCCTTCCAATTCTATAGATAGGTATATCTCCATGTATTCTATTATGATGCCTTGGAGCAAGAAGAAGAGTCATCACCATGTAACCTGTGCACTATCTTCAGACTTCTAAGCGCCTCATAAACAGCATGCTAACCTAATGTGAGCCTGTGCATCTCACGCTTGCAGCAGGGCAGGGAACAGTTTGCACAATTTATATTTTTTACTATGAAAGCTGAAACGTTTGACAAGTTTCAGTGTTTTTGCATGATTTTATTGGAAACCATTCAATATTTGGTGTTTTTTTAAAGTCATAGTTCCTGAAACTATCTTATTACATGACAATTTCATTTCATATCCAGATACCACCCATCCCTCATTCATTGTGATGCAGAAAACCTTGAAAGCATGAACTCTGAAGATTCAAAATCCAAAGACAAATTACCAGCACCCCATTTTTTTATATTTAGATCAGATGAATTGGAATCACTCATTTTTGGGCACCTGACTTGTATTTTTTGAGCCTTTAGGATTGGCGATTTTTGAATAAATTATGAAAATAGGATTGTTTGTTCCGTCTGAGTTTGCTTTAAATGTATTTTTAAATTAATATTTTATTTCCTAGCCATCTAATTTCAAGATCTATATTTATTTAATCTGCTCCAGTAAGTTTTGAGGACCACCTGTCACTTTCTTAAGGCACCATCTAAATTTAGAGAATTCAGTCTGTTGCCCCTCCCCCACCATACTTATGACTTTTTATCTCCTTCCCAACATGCTGCTGTTAAATTACCACATTTTTTTCCAGTATCAGTTTGATTCATTTTCTGGACACAGCTAAGGAGAAATAACTGTGCCACAAGCACAAATCCCAGAAGCAGATTTCTTTTGTGGAGTTTTCCAGAATGTTCTGTCAGAAAACTGGGGATTGCTTTCAGCAAAAGAAGCTAGTATCACAAATCTAGCTGTTCTAAGAACTAACGGTGAAATTCTGGCTATACTGAAGTCCTTGGGAATTTTGACTTTGACTTCAACAGGCCCAGGATTTCACTCCATATGATGAGTTGGACTAGAACTTCTCTCCTGTTTCTGACTCTCCACAACACATAAGAAGGTGTGAAGGATGTGAAGGTGCCCTAGAAATGGTGAGGAGAGTTTTCTCCTTGTATAGGCATTCTGGTAGAGAGCTGCCCCACAATTTTACTCCTTATGCCTGTGTAACACATACCTTCTGGGTTTGTTGTACTGTCCCACCTAGTGTCATTGAGACTACGTAGAGCAGGGCTACTCAACACATGGCCCATGGGCTGCATGTGGCCCGTGGCCTGTTTATTTGTGGCACACAGCATGGTTTGGGTTTATGCAGGGCTCAACACATGGCCCATGGGCTGCATGTGGCCCGTGGCCTGTTTATTTGTGGCCCACAGCATGGTTTGGGCTCAACACATGGCCCATGGGTGGGATCCTTTGAACGTGGCCTCCACTGGGAACACGCTCCGCAACTGTGAGGTATCTCCCAGGAGGGGACTGGCTGGAACAGACGGGTAAAGGATGTTGACATTTCTTGTCCCCAGGTAGGTGGTGTCAGGAGCACCGGGGCATTGTGGGAAGTGCTGGCTGCTTAACCTTGTGGGCAGAGCCTGAGAGGTGCTGACTGGCTTACACTGGCCACGTTTGAGTCCGGCACCACGACTTAAGGCTTAATCTTTGTATTCATGCCTGTCAGTGAGAAAGAAGCTATTTGCATATATACAACCACACTTAATTTGTGGCCCTCGTCATGTGCTGTGAGTATCATTGTGGTCCCTGGGGCTTCCAAAGTTGAGTTGTCCTGACTCAGAGTATGTCTACACTGCAAGGCAAAAGTTGAATTAAGACACGCAGCTTCAGCTAGGTCAACTTAGTAATTGAAGTCAAAATAGCTTAATTCAGCTTTTGGCGCTGTCTACACAACAGGAAGTCGAAGGAAGAATGCTCTTCCTTTGACTTCCCTTACTCCTAGTGAAATGAAGGTTACAGAAGTCAGAGTAAGAAGTCCACCATCTCAAAATTATTTTGAAATGGCTTGCTGAGTAGACGCGTACTTTGTTGTTTTGAAATAACATCAGTTATTTCGAAATAACTCCGCAGTAGAGAATAATGAGTCTGCTCTACAGCCTTAGCTACCAGCCACCTGGCTTTTAGCTCATGCTGTAGAGGCTCATGAACAAAGTTCCAGAGGTCCAAGGCGTGATTCTGCCTGTCAGCATTACACCTGTACAATGCTACTTCAGACCACTGCTGCTTTCCTAGCCTTAGACAGGACTTCCCTGCTTTAAAGGTGGTTCCACAGCACTGAAGACCCCCTTCTCACGTTGATATAAATGCAGTTAGGTTAATTCAGTGGGAATCTATCAGAAGTGTGGTGGAGAAACAATCTGACCCTATCCCTCCCCTCCCCCTTCCAGGAGCACAGAACTGAGCCTCATCCCACCCCCACCTTGCCCAGGAGCACAGAACTGAGCCTCATCCCACCCCCACCTTGCCCAGGAGCACAGAACTGAGCCTCATCCCACCCCCACCTTGCCCAGGAGCACAGAACTGAGCCTCATCCCACCCCCACCTTGCCCAGGAGCACAGAACTGAGCCTCATCCCACCCCCACCTTGCCCAGGAGCACAGAACTGAGCCTCATCCCACCCCCACCTTGCCCAGGAGCACAGAACTGAGCCTCATCCCACCCCCACCTTGCCCAGGAGCACAGAACTGAGCCTCATCCCACCCCCACCTTGCCCAGGAGCACAGAACTGAGCCTCATCCCACCCCCACCTTGCCCAGGAGCACAGAACTGAGCCTCATCCCACCCCCACCTTGCCCAGGAGCACAGAACTGAGCCTCATCCCACCCCCACCTTGCCCAGGAGCACAGAACTGAGCCTCATCCCACCCCCACCTTGCCCAAGGAGCCTGGTGGGGTTGTTGGCCCCTTGGCCCTGTATATTTCCTTTTCCCCACATGCAGATGTCAGAAGATGTGTGAATGAATGGTGCTGCAGAAGCAATTGGTCCATTTCCTCCATGCACACAAACCTCACGTGGATTTAGGAAGTTATTTTCTAGAATTAAATTCTCATCTACTGGCTTTGTGTGTTAATTCAGGAGAGAGAGAGAGCAAGAGAAAGAGAGCATGCCAGATCTTCATTGGAGCTATACCAATTTACATCAGCTGGTGATCTAACATAATGTAGCCTGATTAGCTTTAAAAACAAAACAAAATAGATACTCAACATAGTCTTTCAATTTCCAGAGTTCAAACTGACAAGCAATGTGAGCCAACTTCATCCGTGCTTTGAAAGGGTAGGATAAATTCACCAAGGAAGCCAAATAAACAAAAAGATGCAGGAAAGAACACATTAATTTCTGAGTCCTAAGTCAGGTTCAACTTTTGTTTTATAACATCAAACTAACTAATGGTCTATACGGATATATCAACGTACCAAAACATGCAACAGCACCAAATCTGTGTGGGATGCAAGGAGATTTTGGTCCCAAATGATGCTGTCTTCCCATACAGAAGAGCAGCTGCTTGTGTACAAGCTTTGTAAGTGTGGGAGTTCTAAAAATGAGGAAAATTGCAGGATGTGAGGATTCTCATCTCCACGTTCACTGTGAATGATGAGAAGAATACTATAAATCCTGATCTCTGCTATACATTTTAAATATACTCAGCTTACCGATATGAATTTTATTGATGATGTACACATACTATATATCTGTATGTTGAACACATTTCCATTTATACAGTATATACTGTACATATTTGTTCATAAGCCGATTTTTTTTTGTAAAAAAAATGTAGCATCCAAAAGTGAGGATCAGCTTATCAATGGGTCTATGTTGTCATTGTAGATCAGGGGTTGGCAAACTTTGGCTCCCAGTTCATCAGGGTAAGCCGCTAGCACACCAGGACACTTTGTGTACCAGGAGTGTCTGCAGGGGTGGAGCCCCACATCTCTCAGTGGCTGCCATTCACTGTTCCTGACCAATGGGAGTGGCAGGAAGTGGCAACCAGCACATCCCTTAGCCCACACCACTTCCCACTTACTCTGACAGACCAAGAACCAAAGTTTGCCAATGCCTGAAATACAGGTATTATGAAACAGTTATAGGGTTTATCTTGGGGGCAGGGTTAGCTTATAGACATGCTAATGAACAAATATACACAGTATATTATGAGTGTATATAATGAGAGAGAGTTCTGTTTATATATTTATCTGGCCATTGTGATAGATTCAGCAGAACATGAGCTGTAATCTAAATAAAAACACTCTAGAGCTTTTGCTTGTGAAGAAAACCTTCTAAACATCAGTTCACATCACACTTATATTGAAACAGGAAAGCTCTAAAAACAGGAAAGAACTGTCTACTTACATAGGTTTAAATCCAAAGCTGAATGAGACAATTTAAGTATCATCTCTTCACATGAAATACATGTAATTTATTGTGGCAATGACACCTAATTTGTACTTCTAGTTACTTCAGTTGTCCCTGCCACTGAAAAAGAACATATTGCAGATTAGATACTGGGATTCTGAAAACCTGGGACCGTTTTGAGTTCAATCACAGACTGCCTGTAGGACTTTGGGCAAGATTCACAATGGAATAATGCCAACAAATCTCCTTCATAATATTTTTATCCCAGTGGGTTGGGTACTCTTGCAAGATGTGGAACACGCCCAGTGCAAGTCACCCCTCCACCTGGGGAGGAAAAGGTATTTGAAAAGGCAGCCCAGGTGAGCATCCTAGCCACTGAACTATGGGATTTTCTCATGTGGGGCTCCCCTATCAAAGCTCTTCTACTTTGGACAAATAATTGCAGAATCATTGGGTGAGCAAGACACAGCAAATGTGAACACATGCATGCGCATGAGAATGACCTTACTGCTTGGTGATTAGAATTCTCACAGAGGATGTGGGAGACCTGAAATCCAGTCTCTATGCTCCAATGAGTCCTTAATGCAGGCATGTCCAAAGTCCGGCCCGCGGGCCAATTGCGGCTCGTGTTCCGGTTTAATACGGCCCCCCCGGGTAATTTGGCAATATCTATCTTTTATGGCCCCCAATGAATCCATATGTATTGAGATGAATACATTGTAAAATCTCAGTTAAAGTCAGTTGGTCTAAATCAGTTATAAATATATTTGGACACAACATGTATACTTGGTGTTATGTTCCTGTTCATATTTTTTGAACTTAAAAGTTGACAGACAACCTTTATTACCAATAATATGTAATGTACTTTACAATGTTCCTGACATATATTTCAGCTTCCTGGATTTTTTTTTTCATCTGGCCTTCAGATATGAAAGGCAGAGTGATTTAACACCTGTTTAGATTTGTGATCCATGTGACGAAATGAAAAGTATGCCGTTTGCAATAAACTTTGCATAAAATAGTTAATTTGCATTTAATTTTAATGGTTCAAAGAATGTCAGGCAAAATGGTCGGCCCTCGCGCATGTTCACTTCATCAAATCTGGCCCTCTTTGAAAAAAGTTTGGACACCCCTGCCTTAATAGTTCAA